GCAGCAGTAGATACACTGAAAAATTCAGGTCGAAATGTGCTTTCAGTTAATATCAGGATAAAGCAAATTATCTCTGTTGAAGTCCAAGAGATTATCCCAGATTTACTCCAAAGAAACAAAGCAGAATTTTGCCAAAGAGGTGGCATGACTGAATTACCAAAGAAGTGGTCTCATAACATTGTCTCACAGGCAAAGATACACAAATTTTCAAAGGGCAGCTATGTATTTTCCTCCTTTTAACTCTAAATGGTGATTACTTTTGAGCTGCCAATTGTAATTTTAAGAGTACATCAAGACGTTTAAAACATCTTGTCTGATTGCTATAAAAAATATTTTATATTAAGCTAAAAGCTAAGTCAAGTTGAAACACTTAGAAGAATGAAACTATAAAGTGAGACCAAACAAATTAAACAAGAATGAGTGCTGAAAAGGGCTGAGGTGTTAATAATAACCACACAGCTGTGCCCATAGAAACAGGGGGCTCCCACAGATGACTAGAGGGAATTGTCTGGCAACCAGGAGCACAACTGCAGAAAAGGGCTCTCTTCTCACCCCAAGGTCTCCAAGACATCCCACCAACAGAGCTGGACTTCTTAGGTATTTCACACACTGACAATCAGCATGTTGCACTTGAAATAATGTGTCAAAGTCTTATCCTGCAAACACAAAATCCCTGCAGACATGGGATTGCACTCCCAAGGTTACCTACCTTTGATGGAGAGGCTGAACAGAGAGAAAAGTCACATCACCATTCTGGAGTGGGTCCCAGCAAAACAGGCAACTTACAACATTAAGTTCACTGATTTGTATGTGACTGATTCCAGGCAAGGACAGCAGGACACTCAGCACTATAAATTATTAATATGTTTCTGCACATAATTAAAAAGTGAAATGCTGTGACAGTGTTTTCCCCTTGGTCACAAACAGTAAGTCTGAACATTTTACCGGCATTTGTGACCATTACACCAGCTAAGCTGACCTCCTACGCAACATGGAGCACGGTATTGAATTAAATGACTTGTGCTTGGCAGGAGACTGCCTCCAGAAAGTTGCTGTTCCAGTCTTGATTTGAAAGTCTGAACAGTTCACTTGCCCAAATGTGTAATCATTTTCATTGCTGATAAAAAGGCATCCTTTTTTCTTTTATTCTTATTCTTTAGCTTGTCTGGCTTACTTCTCTCCCTTGGGTCTTTAGGAGACTTTCTTTGATAGCTTCGAAAACCTTTTAAAGTCTGGTATTACATATATATAATCAACTCTCTTCTTACTCTTCTTGGTAAGGCAATGAGGTGGAAGGCCCTCCCAGGAAAACATATTCTTCAGTTTGCCAGTCATTTTCATGGCTCTTCTCTGGCAAAATTGTCAACAACTTTTTAAAAGAAGTTTCCAGCTGTTTTTCCCAACTGGAATCCACATTCTTGTATCAGTCTCCACAAAGTTGTGGTAAAAGCATAAAATCAGCTCCCTGTATCTCTACACACACAAAATCACACTAATCCTTTTAAGGCTGGGTTTCCTACAGAGCACAAAACTTGTAGGGTATGTGTGTATGTATGAGTGTGGTATGTATGAGTGTGTCCCATCTTGAACACCTCACCCAATTACATTATCACAAGCACCGGCTGTAAGTTTCAGATGTATCCCCATATGCCTTAAGAAAACAGCAGAGCAGAGGAGAGACCTGCCCTTAGGCTGCAACATGGGCTCACTGCTTGAAGAGCCATAGCAGACAGACTCCATCATCACTGCTCACTGAACTACCAACACTAGAAGATCGTGTTTTGTTGTATGTCCACTTAAATAACTTGCTGAGTCTGCTTTCTAGGATGCTGTTAGAAATTTTGCTAGCAATACACACATGGAACAGTCCTGATGAAATATGTTGTGCCACAGCACTGAGAAGAGAATGAGTAGCTTCAAGATGCTGAGTAACCAGGAAAGGCAATGTTATAAACATATTTACAGTTGCAGAAGAAAAAAGTAGCTACAGAAAAGACTAAACCTATGATGTGACATGAGGTGCCACAAAACACATTTTGCAAGTTTCTTCTTCTCCCTAGATTCCTCTTTCAATTGTGACGATAAATCTTTCTACGATCTTGGTAGAGAAAAACAGGTGTAAATGGCTGATGGTG